CTACCTGTTCCACGGGTCTGGAACCAAAATGCCTACCCGTGGAAGTTCCATGCCGAGGTCTAACCCGGACCCAACCCGGGCTGGGTTGGGTTTTGGGTCAAAGACTCCGACCCAGCGTTGGGTCCGGGTTAAAGTTGGGTGACCCAGTCTAGGTTTGGGGCCCCAACTTGGGTTATAAACATCACATATATGTCAAGGCTCGTGATTACATAAATTATGCATTTTTTGTCGGTAATATTAAGTATTTTTTTTACAACTAAATCGGCAGGAAGCAAGAATGAGAAAGATTATGATATATCAAAAAATCAAAAAACAAAGTATAATATATTTCAATTTGCATCTGAAATCTAACTAATGATATTCAAAAATATTATTATCACAGCTCTTGCGCTTCCGTTTTGAGATCCGTATTTGGATGTTGTTTCTAAGCAGTGGTATTTGGGCTTTATTTATTTCACATATCTTGTTTATCTCATCTAATCCTATCTCGTCATTAATTATAGTATTCTGTTTTTCAATATCATTAATTAGATCTATCTCAACTTTGTCAGACTTTTCATTCTTTTCTTTTTTCGCAGATTCCATTTTTTTATGAAAGAAGAACTTCTCAAGAAATTTCGTCTTTTATTTTTCCATATCAAATCTTGATATGCAAAGAAACATTATTAATTTTTCAATTGTTTACAATTTCATTTTTCTTCAACGATAATAACAGATATCTCGAACAATATTAAAGAATTGTTCAACTCCTGTGTCTATTGCAGGAAAAAAAAATACATTTCACGCAAAAGCAGCGATTACTAAAAAGCGAGCTTGATGCTTTCTCCAAAACGCAAGAGGCGCAATAAGAATAGAATCTATTAACTAATTAGCATATTTTAGCAAAGACTTAATATAAACGCATCACTATCAAGATATTGAATCATTTTGTCAATTATTGCATTTGGCTATATTTCACTCTCATTTAACATCTTATCAAGCTTTGAACTTAACCGAATTGTTGAATGAGACCCGTTTAAAAATTAATTAAGAATTGAAAGTTGTTCTTAATATAGAATAAAAGCCTGTTAAAAGGACTTGCAATAAATATTGCGCCATTTCTGATCTCAATCCTTTGTAAAGAAGAATTTAAACTTGTTCATTGGTGTCAACATCGTATTAATTATATAAATATGCTCTTGGATATGATCAATTTGAAAATAATACTCATCAAGCTTCGTCCGACCAGTCTCTAATGCATAAAGCATTTGTTGCTTCCACGAAGCGCGCTTTTGTTGTAGCTGCTTTATTAATTGTTCAAGGTGTTCGAAAAGTTTGTTGTAAATTTTAAACACATAATGCGCTGTAACGTCTCGGGTCTTTAATAGCTGAATTGTATAGTCAAAAAATGACTCAATAATACAAAAAAGATAATCAATCTAATGCCATTTTTCATCCTGAAATAATATCTCTTCGCAGTCATATTCCGCATAAAATGATGCAAAAATACTACGTAGACGCTTTGTCCGACGAAACATTAAAAAGATTGAATTTCATTGAGTTTTTACATCTTGAATAAACATTAGCTTCACGTTTGACATCTGAAAATTATAAAATGTCTCCCGACATTGAAGATTTGCGTTCACATAAATTGCGAGATAGCGGACCTTATTTAAGATATAAGATATTTTTTGTTTTTGATGCTGCGTGTTTGTTTGAGTTAGTCTTGATTGCTTTTTTATCCATTTTGTCACAGCAAAATCATTAAATGGAATTGTCTTAATGCGATCAAGAAGCTGGTTGAGACTAAGCTAAATAACATGAACAAGGCATGAAATCCAAATAATAATAACATCATCTGATAAAATTTGTTGAAGAAAATCTATCAAGATTTTGTTATTAGATACATTATCTGTTGTTAATCTAAATACTCACAATTCAAAATTATGCTCCATAAGCATTTGAAGAACGATATTATTTAAATTCACATCAATATATGCTTTGTACAGAGGCTTGAATCCAAGTAAAATCTTATGATAAATCTAATCAGCATCAATAAAATAATCTATAATTGCTATAAAGATCTGCAAGAATGAAAATGTCTAGCAATCCAGTGTGATCGATATCTTTGAACTGATGAATAATGTTTGAAAGATACATTCTTGCCGATCTTGAACAAGACTTTTTAGTTAACAGCGGATTGTATCGGCAGAAAAAGTTATTGGCAATAATGAAACGCAACGAATCTAAATGATAAGTCGCTAAAACGTTGGATGCTCGATAAAATGAAATGAAAGTCGATTAAATATAAAAAACTGTAAAATATCTTTTTTCCAAACTTTTTGCGAGAAAGATATATCGGCAGATAGCTCTTCCTGATATTAATATATAAAGTAAATTAACAAAATAAATATAATCAGAAATAGATTTTTATAAAAAAATCCGCAAATATAAAGAAACATACATCATTTTTTAAAAATCCAGTTATCTCTGCTTTCTTCTCTCGCTCATTTTTCAAACATCCAACTGTTTTCAGATACTTTTGCATTGTTAATATGCCATGATATTGTATTCTGTTCTTTGCCTTTAGATTGACAGTATACAAATATTTAAAAATAGCTTTACAACGTTGACACATGACCTTTGGCGCATCATCTACACTATGAGCAATTTGATAATAATGATTCCAAATCTCTACATGTCGCGTTGATTCTCAATTAATCTTATTCTTTCTTTCGAAATCAGTCTGGAGCCATTAGTCTATCTAGTCGTTGTGCGCCATTTTATCATAAAAAAGAAAAACCTTTTTTCGGTCGGATCCAACGCGTATAAAAAAAAAAGAAACCGCTAAAGAAATATTCGATCGAAAAAAGTCTTAATTGAAGATAATAAATGCGTGTTGATTGATAGATGAAATAATTAAATAATTTGATAATATTAGATAACTAAGATTGTCTATCTCACCATCATAAAAAAAAATGCAAAATCAAAATACTAACTTTGCGACATGATCAATCAGTCTGATAAACAACTGAGAAGATAAAAAAGAAGATAGATATCTATCAAGTAATAATTTTTAGAAATAAATCGACCTTAAAAATAAAAAGTAAATTAAAGCAAAAGCGATATATTAATTTTAAAAAGATAGTGTATAAATGTAATAAGATTTGATTGATTTATAAGATCCATCTTTCTGTGGGTCTAACCCAAAAAACCCAAAAAACCCAATAATAACCCAATAATAACCCAATAATAATCCAAAAAACCCAGCAATAATCCAGCAATAACCCAAAAAACCCAATTCCCATCCCAACTTCCCTTTCAGGTCCCCAAAAAATTTCAATCTACCTCTAAATCTCGGCAGAGTCCACGCATAAACTATTTAAAACCGCTTATCAACATTAATAGTCAGCAATAGCCAGCAATAAAAGATTATAATAAAAGAAGAATAAATAATTTTAGTTAGATAAAGCATTATTGTCAGGATCCTGACCGCTGATAAAATCGCTGACCAGAAGTTTACTATATAATATATTGACTGAATGATCTGTCGATCATTCATTGTACCTTTTTGGCCTTTAATGCAGTGGTAAAGTCAACCAACCAATATCTAACAATTATAAACTGAAGTTGTTTTCATCTAACTAGAATTATATAAGTGTGAGTTTTTAAAAAAATATAATATATTTATTTGTTGAAATCCGTACGTAATTTTTAAGATAAAATATATATTTTTATAATTGCTAGTTAGAATATCAAGCTTTAACGTTCAACTTTCTTAATTTACTTAACTATAATATTTAATAAGTAATTAACTATAAACTCAGTCTAGTCTAAAAGAATATAAAGTTGTTTTATGAATTTTTAAAAGATTTATACTATAACATATAGTAATAATTGGTATAATCTAAACAGATATAAAAAACAGTAATATATTTTGATGACTGAGCAGTTTTATGATCAAAATTATGTAAAAGTTGGGTCAAGTTGGGTCAAGTTGGGTTTTATTGAGGCCCCAGTGTTGGATCCGGGTTGGGTTTTGGGTCGAGATCTTCGACCCAAGTTGGGTTATGCGGAAGTCTAGCCCAGATGTACGCTCAAAAAAAGTATTTTCAAATCGAGAATCTGAAAACAAAAAAAAAACAATATTTTCAAAATCTTTTATAAAATCTCCTATTCAAAAGTCGTTTGCATCTACTATCATTGAAATATACAACTTAACGAGAAATAATGATTGCGGATTTAGGAACCTTGTTGTCCAATTAACAAAAAAAAAAACTTACTAAAATTGAGGATTAAGGATAATCTTACATTAAATAACACTCTTTTTGAAACTGTTCTTGCCTTCATGTTAAAGACCTGTCTTTCGGTCTTGAACAAATGTGCTAAATGTAATAATATATATGAATATTTTTAAGATTCTTACTAATTTACATTTTGATAGACTATCTTTCATTGTTAAAGTTCATATTTGATCGCTATTACGAAAAGCGTCCACAGCTTATCTACATCATGCCTTCACATGATTGTTGAAAACACATAACTGTTCTGTTTGTTGCCATCCCAATACAGGTAGCTTTTTGATCTCGTATTAGAGCGTAAACCGCGCAAGCACATGGAATTGATAATACATAATAAATTGGGATTGACTCAAATATTCTGTTGCCGGTATCCTGACGTTTGGTTACGCAGTTCGACTTCTCGTGAGCAGCCTCGATCTTAAGAACAAAGCTGTTCTGGGGAGCAAGCGGGGCATTCAGGTGCAGCCTCGACGCTGCTGCGATTTCATTGGATACTCGCAAGAAACGAAGGCCCACTTCCGAACATGCCATCCGAAACGAAGGTCCCAAATCTAGAATCTCCCCACATCCCCAGCTTCACTTGATTCTTCTCTGCTAATCATTGATACCTACACATGACGGCTTCGTCTAGTCTTATTGAACACCAGACTGACTAAACGCTGCATTATGTCTGCCCAAAGTTTCTTTACTGAGGGTGTGGTCGCTGGGGGCTTTAGAATCATGCGAGCGGGATTGGAAGGCGAGAGGCTTGCCAAAGCTTACGGCAATCCTGCCTTTGAAAAGTCTGCAAAGCTGACAGCTCAGGTTGGTACACATCTTTGACGTGCAACGAGGCAGTTCTGACCATCATCGCAATAACTGGCAGGCAGCTAGCTGGGGTGTTGAAAACCCGACTCTAGCCACCTGTGCAGTTGCCGGCCTTACTGGCGTTGCTCTTCTGGCTGCCCCCGGCTGCGCAACAGCCCCAGCACTGTCGGCTATAGGGTTCACGGCGGAAGGTATACAAGCAGGTATGCCCAGTATCTCAGGGGAGCCAATAAGATAGGCTCTGGCTCTTGAACTTCTGGGAGTTAGTAACTTTATGCGTACGAAATACAGGGTCTTCAGCTGCAGCCTTCCATAGTTCAATCGGGAATATTGTACCCGGGAGTGCGATTGCTCTGGCGCAGAGCGCTGGCACAGGGGGATATGGCCTAGCGGTTGTGAACGGGGTTACGCAGTTGGGAGGTGCTGCAATGATTGCGGGAAGTGCTGGCATAGCATGGGTCAAGGCTAAGTTATGAGCCTATGTGTTGATGCGCTAGGGCTTTTCTCAGAAATACTATACTAACTCTTGAAAGAGTACCATTGGTAGAGCTGCCTTACGCAGTGGCGACAGTTCTTCGCCATTTAGATCAGTAGACTTTGTCCAAGCATGGCTACTCCGTAAAACACTCACCCCGACGATACTATAGAGCCCAGGGCCAGTTCTTTCCATCTCGAAGGCCTTTATCTGATTGCTATGAACCTCTTTGATCTTATTCTCCTTTCACAATGGTCTTATTGACAACAGTTTGATTGAAAAGTGGCTCTTCCCAGCGTGGCATCTTAACAACTTTCTAATATAGAAAAGCACAAAGCTGTTGTCATCGTCGAACCATGCTGAACCCAAGAAAATCGAGCGTGCGTATGATGATGATTACGATTGGTAGAAGTACAGTCAACACGTCACACCTGCAGATAACCCCGCTTTGACGAACCGCCTCGATTAATCATAAAAGGCTCCGAGCAGATGTTCCATCTCAATCGCAGACTGATTTGTGTATTGCTCGCTTCATTCTCAGCCTGGAAACGGAACCATGAAGAAAGGTAAAAAGGGCAAGTCAAATAAGATAAAAACGAACAAGATTTACAAAAATCAGGGAGAGGCCGAAGTGGCACCAGCGGAAGACGAAATGGTGGCAACTGCACCTTTGGATGAGTATGAAACAGCCGCAACTGCGCCGGCAGACGATGCAATTGTCGAACCTACATCTATGACCGACTCTGATATCAAGGAATACTCCCAATCTGAATACTGGTAGGTATCCTTATCACTTTAATGTAAACTGCATTGGGACTAATTGTCTGGCACTATAAGTCCGTACGAGGGCCTGCCGGTAACAGTTATGATCGGTCTCACCAAGAAGCGTTATACTATCCCCAGGCCTCTTATCGATAAATTCCCGGCTCTATGAACTCGATTATAGACTACCTCACGGTCGTACTATCATGATTTCAGCATGCGGGAAGAGGTCGATCTTACAATTATTACGCTTTTGGATGTGAATGAAGATATCGGGCACACTTTTATGCATTTCTTTTATATTGGGAACTTTCAGACCGTAAAGATACCGTCTGACCATGATCAACCTAAACGAACGAGGGAATACACCAGGAGCGTTCTTACTTATTGTGCAGCCGTAACATATCGACTGAGTGGACTGGAGGATCTTGCAAAACAATACATAGCACCATTTGATCGAAACATCACTATATTTGAGATCATTTCACTGGCCCGAAAAACTTTACCAATGGCTACAAAAAACGATTGATATTCTGATTATCTCACCGCAAACATTTTGGCAGCCTTTGATGCAGACGATGAAATATTTCAACAGGAGGAGTTTTTCAAGGGATTCGACAACACCTCAGAGTTTGATAAATTCCTTGCGAAAACCATGGTGCTGGCCTACTCTCGAAATTATCTGTCTTACGGTGCGAGCTGCCAGCAATCAGTGCCTCGACTGCAAGTTCTGTGCCAGAAAACGAAGTTGAAGACAATCTTGTCTATGATGAAATTAAAACTACAGATAAATTTGACGATGATAATCGCGATGGCAAGATCGACATGGTAACCCATGAAGATGTGAACTATCTTGGAAAGCAAATGGTCCTGGAAATTGGACAGAATGATGACGAATTACACATAACGACAGAAGCTGAATCCGTTGAATCCCCCCCCTTCTCAGTTTAGCGTGATAACACTGGCCTCGGGCATCAGTAGGAGAATCCTTCAAGCACAAATAAACTCCTACTCGAGACCGAAGCTCGGAAGCCACGCTTGTCCAAACTGGGAACACATTCACTTGACGAGTGACTTTGTCGGATGTTTGTTGAGTTAGTTGAATAATTACCACAGATCCAAAGAAAGTTGTTTTATCAAACGGAATCATATGTAGCAATCAGGGGGTAGATACAGTTAAAATAACTCATATTTGGTGATACAAGATGCTCGGTGAGCTCTCAGCACTGATACAAAATTCAAATCCTCGCAACGACAATCTGAAAATACATGAAAATTGGCAGTACCAAAGATCAAAAGATAAGTTTGTACTCCTTCAATTGTCCCTTGAGACCCAGCAGAAAATTATTAATTTAATAGCCTCCGTGATAGCCTGCACGGTATGATTGGGCTTTGTTGATTGATGAAAAGTTTTTTTTGCAGTCTATGCACCAATGATAATAGTTAGTATCATGTTGTTAAAGACCTATCCCATTCATGAACAATCTATTATAGTTATTGTAGTAGAAATCGCAATTTTGTGGAATTCTTTTCAAATGTAAATTTAATTAGACCTCGCCACGACCCGCGGGTCTACCCAAACGGGGTACCCATTATCCGTTTCTTGGCGGGTAATGGGTAGAGTTCGTCTACCCGCGTGTGGATAGTGGGTAACTGGATAATACCCGTGGATAATTTTTGGATATCCACGGATAATTAAACAATGCAAACAGATGAAAATCTATGATTTGCATATTTTGTGTATATTTGAATTGTAATTTTAAATATTTCATATATAATTATTAATTAATTAAGATTCAAGATTTTTCGGATATTAAATAAATTAAAATAAAAATTAATTTTATAATTAATATTTAATAAATTAATCATTATCTCATTTTTGCTTTTGATTTTTATTTAAAATTTATTATTAAATTTTTAAAAAAAATTTGTAGCTTTATCGTCAAATAATAAAATTTTAAAAAAAAAATTTTAAATAATATTTTATTTTTATGTGATTTTTATGTTTTTTTTGTTGTCATTAATAGAATCAATATCTTATAGTAATTGAAAATTTTTTTTTGTTTCGATTTCTTCACTTATAAAATAATCTTTTTTAAAAACAAGATTTTCATTTTCGATTTTAAATTATGTTATAAATCTATATATCATAAATTTTTAAATCATTTTGAATTTTAATGAATCTTAACAATAATGATAAACATTTTAAATAAAATTAGAAAAACGTTCAATGTCTGCATTTGTAGTAAAAATTATGAAAATATTGTCACGGTGCAGATCTTGATGCCTGAGGCACCTTCTAACTATGGCCCGGAAGGCCATATTATCCGTTCCGGGATCTGCATATCTTCCCGCTTGCTTGAAGATCCTGTTCTAGCTCTTCGAGCTACATCTTGTCTATTAGCCTATATATAGCTTGATCCTGTAGCAATTCAGAGATACCGTGAACTATTAGCTTACCTGCCTGCCTGCCATCAGCTCTACCACCCCCGCCAGCCCGCACCTTGACATTACGTAGCTCCCATCCTTAGAGCTGATGTCCGCCCGAAAATGACAGCTATCCCGAATCCCCCGTCTTTCCCGAACAACCCAGAAGAATTAGCCCAGCATATTGCTGAACATGCTTCAGAATGGTATAACTACTGCAAAAAGATTCACTCTTATGCAATAGATGCCAGCCAGAACCTCAGTAAAAAGGAATTATTGCTAGCTTTTCAGACTGAACAATTCTAGCAAAAAGAAATGAAGATAACCCATCAGCTGATTGAAGCCATAAGTGCTCGTAATATGGCTTTTAAAGAAAGAGATCAAGCTATAAAGGAACAAAACCAGACTACCCAAATAATTACACCGATAATTAGCATTCTGATTCAAACCCTTGAACCATTCGTTGAAAAATCCCCGATCACTTTAACGAAAACGTTTACATCAATCAATTTCAGATTTTCTGTCTCTGCTTATCTTTCCGAACGCCTGCCCAATCCCGATAAATTTGAAAATACCCGATTAGATCTCCGTCATTTTATCTTCCAGATTAAAAAAAAAATGACTGTTAACCACGACCGTTTCCCGACACCCCAAACCCGCATAGCTTACGTTTTCAATCGTTTGAAAAAACTATTCTATGCCCAGATCTTACCGTACATCAAAGACAGGATCTGCCAATTGAATGACTATATCAATATCTTAAAGATACTGGATCGAGCCTATAATGATCCAAATCGCGTTCATAATGCTCGAACTGCTCTCTATAGCTTACAGCAAAAGAATCAAGAATTTTTTGTTTTCTTTGTTGAATTTCAACGCCTTGTTATGAAGAAAAAAATTGCTAAAGATAGTCTCTCTACACTTTTTGAGAAAGCTGTAAATCAAGAATTGAAAAACATAATAATGCATCAAGAACTTTTTACTGGCAACTATATCGATCTTGTTATTTTTTTACAGAAGCTCGAAAACCGCCGCAAACAATATATCTAAAATCAACCTTGAAGACCGACCCCCGATATTCAAAGCTCCTCGTGTCATCTTATCACCAAAAATCCCAGAAGTTTACTCTGGAATGCCGTTATTGAAACATTTAAACCTGTTTTAGCTATCTCTGATCCTGATGCTATGGACCTCTCTTCCACACATTGCTTGTTTTTTAGATCCCGTGATTCAACCCGCAAAAAACAGAATGAATGCTTTTGTTGCGGTTTTAGCCAACACCTTATTAAGGATTGTTCCGAGCCCGATAATCGCACTTATTAGATCAACTATACTGCCCGTTTTGTCTCGCCTTCTAGGACTGCTTCGCCCTCTAAAAAATGATCACCTGTCTCTGTATTGTATTCTATGTCTCAAAACCTGTCTATATCTTTTTCAATCCAGGCCCCCCAATCCCGCGCTATGCTCCAGCCGGAACGACTATACTTTCCAGACCCGAGCGAACAGTTAAAAAGAATTAACCTGGTTTAAGCCACAGCCAGACGGACTCTCTTGCACAAATATATCGAATATCTGAAACTGTTATTAAAAGACTTTTAATCGAGAAAGAACTCCAAAAAACTGATTTATTGATTATTCTTATTACTCTGAATCCTAAATAAAACGAAATTGCTATCTACGCTATATTTGATATTGACTATTCTATATCCCGTATTATAAATAAGAACTAGACCGAAGTCCATCATCTGATTCTGTACCCCTTAAACAAATTTAAGCCTATAGTGGGTTTTGATGACCGTGAAAATGAAGCTGGCGTTATTATCTATTATATCCGCATGATTTTGAAGATTCATGATCATGTCGAAAAGGATGTCCCATTTTTAATTACTCAGCTAGCACATTTTCCTATTATTATTGATTTACCATGACTAAAGATTCATAATCTCCGCATGAACTTTGCAAAACATATTCTTCAATTTCCAGCTCATATTGCCAGAAACATTGTAATATTCCAGCCCAATCTGCTAAGATCCAAATCCTGCATGATATTTCTGCTCGAGCCAAACCCACGAATCTGAAGGCTCCCAAATCTCTAAGAAACTAAGACTTTCAAATAGTCTCATTAATTGCCTGCGCTGCGTACGCCCGCAGAGAAAATAAAGTCTATACTTTAACAGTTGAACAAATTGATGAAGCAGTTCAAATTACTCCTGAACTATCTGAATCTAAATTCCCAAATGAATTTAAAGACTTTGCAGATATCTTTTCTCCAAAAGAAGCGGAAAAACTTTCCTCACATCAAGATTACAATCATACAATTATCCTTGAATCAGAAAAAAGATTTCCGTTTGGATCATTCTACAATATGTTTCGAAAGAAACTCTCAGTGCTTCGAGAATGACTGTTAAAGAACCTAAAAAAGAAATTTATTCATTCAAGTTCTTCACCTGCTGCATTTCCAATCCTGTTCGTGAAAAAACCAGACGGAGATTTGCGCTTCTATATCGATTATCGAACTCTAAATGCAATTACTATCAAAGATCGATATCCACTATCCCTTGTAAAAGAGACCCTAAACAACCTCAAAAGCATGTGTTACTTTACCAAGATCGATATTATTAGCGCGTTTAACAATTTCCGTGTTAAAAATGGACAGGAATGGTTGACTGTTTTTCGAATCTGTTTAAATCTATATGAGTCTTTAGTGATGTTTTTTGGACTAACAAAGATCCCCGGAACATTCCA